AATTTACATAATTCTTTGTTCCTCGTATCATTTATACAGAAGTACAAATTTCGTCTCTGATTTTTTTAAGACATGCAGAATTCTGAAAATCATTTTTTAATGAGTTTCAGTTTTCGGATATGATGCTAGATGTCTCCTAGAAACGAGTTTGCTTGTAATGTTGAGTATGTCGACAAATTTACTGTCGAGGTAACATGATATATTGATATTAAAATGGCCAACAAAATTCACATAAGAATATTTGTGTGTATTTTTGAGTAAAAGATTATGTCTTCTCAACGTACACCGTCAGTATCTTACCGTGTTCCCGAGCAAACGACTCGTCATTATCATGGCAAATGCACTTTGTCCAACCCAGCCTTCATTGGGCCAAGAATGGCAACAATAAACAGTTCGGTAGTTGTAACTTATGAACAATGTCAAAAAGAGAGCACTGTCGTTAAAGACGAAATCTGGAGAAGCTCATGTTGTAAAGAGAGATGTCAACAAATAAAATGGTATGTCTTCATTTTATTACTATACATGGTTTGGTTAGGATTATATGGATAAAGTTGATGGTATACGGATGAAGTTTTAAGATGAAGATTTAGCACTCGAATAGAGGTTTACTTTATTTTTCAACTAATCAAGTGGGGCTAACAAGATGCCATGGCTAGATAAATTTCAGTTCATATTCGGAAGAAAGCTTGAATAAAAGCTTAAACATATGATGAATAATTTTGTTTGAAGTTCTGACACAAAGCAAGTAACTATTTTGACTTTTATATATGTAAAAATAAATTGTTTGTTTGTATCAACAAAGATAGCCTAATTTGCATGTGTAGTTTGTTATGAATTCATCAAGAGATCGACCACCCGGTGATTTTTAATTTACTGATGGTGGGGAATATAGCGAAACAATAAACTCTCACCCTCTATTTATTTAGAGCTGGGGATAAATAGGGGTGAATGAGAGTTGAAGGTAAATGACGGTGGGAGATGAATGAGGGTGGGGATAAATAAGTGTTTGGGAAAATGAGGGTTAGAAGTAGATAACGGAAGGGGGTAGATGAGGGTAAGAGGTAAATGAGGGTAGGGGGTAAATGAGGGTTGAAGGGGAAATAAACGACATGTACCGTATTGATCATCTATAAAAGATATTTGCAAGAAAACTTCAATACCTGTAGATTCGTAGTCATAGGCAACCAACTGCCTCTCCTAAACGTTCAGCAGTGATGAAAGGGGTTTAGTTTTTGAAGGAAAATTTCTGAAATAAAAAATTATTAAAACATTATTAGCTACATTCATCCACCTAAAGCGATCATTTATTTCCTACTGATTATTACATTTCTTTGTATCAATAATCACTTACAAAAATAAATGTGATGTGCGTGGTCAATTGAATAGATGATTTGTGGCCATAGTGAATTTGAAGCTCAACGCTGGCTGCTTATTTTGAAATTCATGTTTTATTTGCATCTTTGCCGAAAGATAACTCAAAAACGAAAAAAGTTATTCAAATTCTGTAAACGGCATTTGTATTATTTTTCCAATATCTATTTGAGAATAAAAAGTAAAAATAGTTGTATGTGCACTTTAATGCTTCTAAAACATGCGACAAGCATGCGTCGACGACTTCAAAGTTATATGGATTCATTTGCGTGGCCTTCAGCACTATTCCAAGAAAGCTTTTCAACGCGAGTTACAAGAATTTTGCGGCACGCGCTATAGCTCGTTTATCCCCAATATATAGACAAGTTTCAGAGCGTATTTTTAGTTAACTTCTTTCCCTATGTGTTGCTATTAATTACTGTTAGTGAGGCTTTAACTGACTGTTGCCAATATATCTAACTGATTGCACTGATGGTTTTCAGTTACTTTTTATATATTTAAACACGCATTGATTTTTCTTTCTATAATAGCTGTTATGCTCATACTTTTGTCTAATACTATGACTCTCTTATTTTATTCCTGTTTGTCGTGATTTTAAAATCGTCCTTCTCTTATTCATCTAATCAATTTTCTCGAACTTCCCTGACAGCAATTCTTATCGTAATGCATATCTGTTTCTTATGGCCAGCGCAAATCTTGCAAACTTTAATTATCAAATGGAAATATCTTTAACATAAAGCAACATGATTTGTGTTTGTAGACGTTTTACATGCCTGCACTTGCCTTATGCTTGAGGTCATAGAACGTCTTCATGTAGTATTGACTACAATTTTTAGGAATGCTGAAACACAGGATGTTTTAATTAAATTTGCGAAATTGAACTAATCCTCACACACAATTATAAATGTAAACTGCGCTAATACCCTTCAAATCTGCGTTGAAAGAGAAAATGCTTACATATTAAGACTTTTTTGTTTAGTTTGGTCGAAAAATGAGCTTGCAGTTAATAGTGGTTGGAATCATGTTGATAAGGACATTGGACTCTACATTATTCATATTGCAATTTATAGAGAGAAAAGAGGTGTTTTTCTTGCAACTGCAAAAATGAAACGCTTTTCTGAAATGAAAGAGAAAGTCTTTTACTCTCTAATCTATTGACAAAATCATTGCTATCTTAACCCATCAAGAAATCTTATGTAAAGTTTTCAACTTTCCCAAAAATTAAGATTGAACAGCATATTGATTAGCGAATTCTCTGGTAAATTTCTCATACACTGAGCCACAGGATATCTCTCACATGATCACTCAAAAGAAGGTTTATATAGATCAATCAATATAGATTCAATCCTGTGGTATCAACGGTAATCTTTATGAACACCGTATCGTCCCGGATGTAACCGCCCCTTTGAACCGCAGATTTAGGTACAAAGAGAGGACAACCGCTGGCAATATTCATGTTACTTCTGGGTCGTTGAAAACTTGAGCTGTTTGGATCTGGTCGAAAGCTGTCAACGATATGCTGGTCTCCATTCTGATCAATTAATTTAAAAGTTACTTTCTGCCGAAATGGCCAAGTCAATAGGGCATCGTAATTACCACGCATGAGCACAAAGAAAAGAGATAGATGTGTGTTCTTTCCCATTCCATCAGGGGCGGATCTAGAGTATGTCAAATCCGTCGCGCGACTGATGTTTGAAATTCAAAAATTACCTATTCATATTAATTAAAAATTCATTAATTATTCTTATTTTCTTATCGCATTTACTTCGTGATAAAAATCCCGCATTATTTATTATTGAAAACTAATGACTAATCCAATGAATATCTCGTTGGTAACCAGATCAGTTGAATTTTAATTGACCTGGAATAACCGACTGATAAGCGGGGTGGCTTGACTGGTTCGACGGATAAAGGAGTCTATGAACGCCAAAACGCTTATTTTATTGGTCAATAGCCAGATCAGTGGACAGTCTGGAATGGTCTCGACTGATAATAGGGTGGCCGGACGTATAAGGGAGTCCAATTGCTATCTTACAATTGGTTCATTTGAATTTTGCTTTATTGTGATTGGTTTGACGGATTTCGACTGATAGCCAACTGAACTAACATAGTCAAGCTCACTGTCTGAATTGAATGTTTGATCGTTTCATAGTAATTTTATAAGCATGATAGAAACTAAACTACAATCAGATGGAATTTATGGAAATCTTTACAAATTCATATATTGACATGAATGCTGCTGTCCAAACTGTGAATTTTTTCAAAAGGGTGAAAATCTTGTGGATGAATTGTAAATTCTTGGCAAAGACGATCTCGCGAGCGACATTTCAGTCATTGATGTTCAAAAGCAAGCCAACATTGTTTTGAGTTTAATTAGCAGAAGCTTACATCCAAAATCGTAAGTAAAGGACAAGTGAAGTGTATGCATGAATGTAAAACATCAAAGTCAATTTAAGCGTGTATGTGATGCGATATTTGTCAATATGGCGTATGGTAAGCACATTGATGCTTCTAAAATTGTTGTTGTCGAAAGACGTTTAGCTATGATTTCTTTAGTGCTTGGGGAACCGTGGCCATTTTTATGGCTGCGAAATCCTACATTCCTGCAAATATATTTCATTGGACAAAAAATCTGTAGCCATAAAGCGCCATACTATTATTTAGTTTATTATAAACAAATGTTTGAGCTTTTCAGTTTATGATCATTAATCATTCAATCATTGGACAGTTATATTACATATTGTTTAAGATTTGAGAAAACCAACATGGATTACATGAGAAGCTGCTTACTATAACCTGGGATTTGAAGTCTTCTGATTCATAAAGCTTTTTATTTTAACGATTTGACTGGAATAGTATTAAACCTGAGTATTTCACATACATGAAATGTTGTCCCATGTCCCATATTGTTCCCTGTTCTAACTGGACACCTCATGTAGAGATGTCAAGGTTTGTTGATCTACGGCTCATACCAGATTGTTTGCCATAAATTCCAAAGGGCTATTGATGTATGAAAAGCGTTTTCTATAAAGTAAAAATGTCTTCCTATGTATGCAGATAAACCCTGAAATTTGGCAAACAGCAAAGTATTTTTCATAATCACTAGGTAATTTTTCTGACGTTCATTATAATTTCTAAACTAAATTATTTCAGATTTATAATTAGACGAGCTTTGATCATGTGAAAAGATATTTATCATAACAAGTAACCATGGCACATGAACCAATTTTAACATTCATGTAATTATATAATTAAAGACACGTTGGTTACATTCTGTTTGTATTTGCAAATACAATGCTACTAGTGATTGCTATATAGCACACCTTGCATATACTTACAAAAGTTAATAGTCTAGTGAAATGCCTAATAAACATCAATGGCATTAAGTTGTCCAAATTTTCACTCTGATAATTTTGCTTAATCTTTGGCAGAAAAAATTTTGAGTTTTTCTCAAAAGGTGAATTTGCTGGCACTGATGTGGAGATGGGTAAAGGGTTACAATAAACTTGCATGGTTTGAAGTCTGAGCTTTTCTATATCTATGAACTGTCACTTGTAGTACGAAATTTCTAACTTAAACTCATTACATAGAGGTTTGAATGGGGGTCTCTAGGGGGTCTATGCCTGACAACTTGGTAGAAATTTTTAAAGACTATATCTGTTTTTGAATAGCATTATTGTAAAATAAATTTTACGTTCCTAGACATGCTAATGAGCCATATATTTGGCATGATAATGAGCCTAAATATTTGGCAAAACATTCAAGTATTGTTCACTTCATTTTTTTTTTGAAAAAAACGTAAGCAAAATGTGTTGTTTTACGCAAAACGATGCCCACAAATACATTTTGTATTGCTCTAAAACACTGAAAATGGCATTTTCAAGGCTCTGAAATTCAAAATTTCTCAGGGGAGAATGCCTTAGACCCCCCCAGGTGCGGAGCGCCTTCGACGTTTTATGACTGATGTTTGAAAAATCCTAGATCCGCCCCTGCATTCCATCACCGTTTGGGTATACTCTCGCGCATGCCTAAATATACATAAAAATCAAATGGTGGTTCCACTTCCGGGAACGTCCAACGAATAACGTTTAACGATTAACGGGGTGGGGTGGGGAGAGTTCTGGTAAACCTCGTCTGGTGAGTGTGGACCTTGCATCTGTCATGAAAATAATGCTGCATATTAACTTTCGAATCCAAGCCCATGAACAAATAGAGAGGCTTCATTGAATTTTGTGCAAAATCCGTACTTTCCATCTGAAAGAAAATTTACTTCGGAGATAAGGTTCATCTTGAATTTAATATTTTTAAAAATTGGATACAATTTTACAACAGTGATATTTTGAATTTATGTCAAATTCTTAATGAATATCATTGTAAAATTGTCTTCTTTATCTGAATTAAAAATGAACATTTTATCGCGAATTTATTTAACTATGTCTTACTTAATGAAAATGTAGGCTTCAAATTCAGTTAGTCCACTTTGACGGAAGAAGCAAAAATTGAAAGGATCGAGTTAAATGTTCTTCATAGCAGGAATGAAAAAATGACACCAAGTTTAACTGCTCCATGATTGTATCTTCATGGCATGAATGAAGAAATGACACCAAGTTTAACTGCTCCATGTTGGTAAAACTTTGACGAAGATAATGGTAAAATCATCATCATCATGATCGATTCTTTTGAGTACGTCGCTTAAAGTATTTGAGTAAATGAATCGTGATGTCTTTAATTGATGCTTGATTTGCTATATCGAAGAAAAAATTTCTCCTAGCCTGGTTTGAGCTAAGCTTGTTTAACAAACAGTGTCACCCATGAAATAAAAATATCTTTCCATCAACCCAAAATACTAGCCAAAATTATACTACGTATACATATGTTTTAAGATAGACAATGATTTTATTTTCTTCATTTGTAACAAGCTTCCAATAAACGAGAATATGCTACGGACTTCTACGTAATATAACTTATTACATAGCAGTCCGTGTAGTGAAATATTTCTCAATGTCTCAAAAACAAATTCTATGGATGGAGACAATGGATTCAATAAGGATGCCTTGAATGCTTTGAAGTTAAAGTTCATGAACCAAAGAAAGATGGCAAGAAGGTTGTGTGTGTTTTGATGCTTAATGAAAATGCAAGACTCAAAACGAAATGATTCATTAGGCATAAAAATTAATTACAGTGATCAAGACTTGAAAATAACGCCTTTTCTTCTTAACTGACGAATTACAATCACTGTATTTTACCTTGTATCCATAACGGCCAACGTAGAACTGTAGACTGTAGATTGACAAGGAACGTCCTGTTTGTGCATCATTTGATATTCGTCCAAAATCTTCAATCTTCCACATGAAAGTGCCTTCATAAGATGTACTATCTAACATATTCAGTTTTACGTCGTGATCAGCAATCTGGACGTCACTCAACGAGATTTGATGTTCTAAGGAAGCAATCCGTCTCTCAAGATCTGATACTGTTTCATCATCGCAACCACCGAACTGAAAAGAAGAAGATTGAAATTGATATTGAATTTCTTTGCGGTTGCTGCACATTTTACTCTTAAAACAAATAGAAAGTTGATCCTGAATGCTTTTGCCAATAACCATTAACAAAGTTTCCGCGATCTTTCGACTTCATCAAAAATTTTTGCCTTTGATTAATAATGCCATCCACCCTTCGAATCTCTCAAAATCCCCACCTGTACTCGATTATGTTATCAATTTCAGCTTGATCATGAATTGTATCATCACGTGGTTTCTCGTCGGGTTTGCCTGCACCACGTGACATATTTTCGTTGGCTTGTGAACTTTCTGTTGCTCTAAATGATGAACTCTCCCCATGCGAAGCACGTAAGGCCTCAAGATCGCCACGAAATTTGACAATTTCTTTATTATGGTTCTTCAACTGTTCATCAACACTTGATTGCATTTCCGTTATAGCTGTTGTCGATGTTTCCAGCTGCTTCATATGTCCATCTGACGTTTTTATATAGCGATTCAACATGGTAACATGGGTGATCTGTTTTTGAGACATGTGCTTCTTAAGATCTGATCTTGAACCCTAAATTAACCGTTTGAAATCTTTAAAATGCATCGCCACTTCATTTACTTTTTAAAGTTTTTTTCAGGGAAATTCCAAGCGATTTAACAAAATTTAGGGGAATTCCTGGTGAACATTAAATTCAATAAGATATTGATTGGTTGGAGAAAGCCAATTATAATTAAATTACATCCTATTTCCTGAAATGTGCCAGTAACCTGAAAATTGCAATCGGGAAATAAAGGACAAGAACTTTCCGCCTTAGGACAATCGTTTAGCAAACGAGTTTCCATATTACAACGTAACACTTTCTGACCACACA